CCCCAAAACCCCAAAACCCCAAAACCCCAAAACCCCAAAACCCCAAAACCCCATAAATTATTAGCATAATTGAAAAACTGAAGTTCATTGTTAGAGTCCAAAATTATTTATCTCAGAAGGAGTAGAGGCAAGGCTTGCCACACTATTCTTACCCTTTGCCAGCCTGAGCTGATGAGTTTTGTTCAGGTTGAAAATAAAATCATTCTGCTGGATAAAATCCTCCTTATAGTATTGCTTGATGTACTTCTTCTCTTTTTGGTACATTTTATCTATCAGGCCTCTGACAGTAGTTTGATCTACTTTTGCCAAAACAGAGTTTTTAAAAGACTCATCTGTTGGGATCATCGAACTACTTTTCTTACGACTAATTCGCTTTCCAGGAGGATCATTCCTGACATTGATCTCTCCAAGAAGGTGAGCGTAATCTTTCTTTGTATAATCACCAGTGAGGTCTTTATTATGGGAATCATCCGTAGTGGAGGTAGAAGGCTTATACCTCCTCTTTCTATTGTTATTATTTACTAAGAATCCTCCACCTCTTCCTTTCTTAGTCTTTTTCTTTTCAACAAAAGTCGAGCTGGTTGCATTTAGGAAGGTATTAGATTCCTGATTTAGAGGAGATTGAGGAAAATTTCACTCAAAATTATACCTTGAAGTTAAGTTAAACTTCGAGATATTTACTTCATTAACTATTTTATTCGTAAAGGGAACTCCCTTGCCTCTTGGCTTATAACTTCTAGGAGGATTCTCATCTATCTGAGGCAGATCTGGACTGAAATCATTGCTTTTGAACATATGTTTCGATACTCCTTTAATGAAAGGACCCATTGAGAAAGCTCTTCCAATCTGGTCTTCTGCAAAAGTGGATAAATCTATTGGAGGATTTACTCCTAAATTCTTCTCAGCTTGAGGCACTTCTTTCTTATTAGCGTATCTGGGATTTTTCAGCTGATAAGGAGCAAATTTGGTATGAATTACCTTAAATGATTCAGAAATTGAATTATTTAGTTTGGCTAAGGTCCTTAAACTTGTGAGAATAGAATTATCTATTCCTTTAGCGCTCAATATAACTCTGTCAAATGGATCAAACTTCTTCAAATTTTGAGTGTTCAATAGTCTCATTGCTTCATCAAATTCTGAATTTGCTATGATTTAGAGATGAGATTCTTACCTTGGTCAATAATTTCGGCTTTTTCTGGAGTCATTAGGAAATTTAAGAACTGAGGATTTAGACTAATTGAATTTTCTTTTTCATAGGCATTTTCTTGATCTTTGTTTAAGAATATAGTGAATCTTGGAAATCTTCGAAACCTTTTTGGGGAAAACTTATTTAAGTTTAAAGGCTGGAACCCTCCAACAGTCATTGACTTGGCTTCTGAATGAGCGACTTTTCTCCCCCTCTTCTTGTTCATTTGTGAATAAAACTTTGGGTTGACTTTAGGCTTCGATTTGGTCTTTGCTTGAAAGCTATTTTGAGTATTGTTTAATTCGCTTTCAATATAATCTAAATGAGCCATTTGATTAACTCTCTCAGCTCTGGAGATATCTTTAGATGCCTTTTTAAAGACAACCCTAGCTGGCTTTTGAGAAGCTCTGCTATCAGTAAGCCTCTCATACTCATTTTTATCGCTTCCTTTTTCGAATCTATCGGTAGAATGATACTGTTGTCCAAGATTTTGTTGATGAGGAACTTTTATCGGAACTTTGAATTTACTTGGCTCTTCATCAGAAGAAGACTTACGCACATCAAAGGTATGCTCCATTTCACCTAATATCTCACTATTTGTACTTTCTTTTATTGGTACATGAAGATCTTGGTTCTTAGGTTTTAGTTTGACCCTTCTTGGCTTCATTGCTTTAAGTTTTTCTTTACTTCCAAATAAGAAGTCAGTATTCTTGGTATTTCAAAATTTTATTAAGTTAAAATTATCATTCTGATTTTTCTTAGGCTTACGAAGACTAGAATTTGGTGAAGGTTTGTGGTACAGAGACTTCCTATCTGCTGACAGGTACTTTTCAAAATTCCTTACATTTTTTGCACTTGGAGCAATAATTTGTTTAAACTTTTCATTAATGATAGTGAGTTTATTAACCTGCTTCTGTAAGGCTTCATTCAGCTTCTCTTTTTCAATCCCTCTTATAGACTGTATTGAGCTCAAATAAGAATGCTTATATCTACTATTCGGCTTTCCCCCAAGTAATTTCTCATCATCATAACTAACCCCTGGAAGTCTGGCTATCCTATCAGCGATACCTTTCCCAAAGATATGATTTTCCTCTTCAGAGTCGGACAGGACAAGTTGGTTCTCATTCCTATTCATCATGTCTAAAAGCATCTCTCGATCGCTGATTTTCCTCTTCCTAAAGAACAGTGACTCTGTGTGCTTACTTGTCGCCTAAATTATTTGTAGGTTTCTCTGTGGAAGTCTGCGCTTGGCTAATTTGGAAAATTATTGAAAAAGTACCGGTCTGTGCTCTTTTGAGCGCCTTTTATGGTGGCTGTGGTAGGTGATTTGTTCGTGAGTTGGCTGGGTCTGTGTGGAGGTTTGGAGTTTTGAGAGGTGGTCTGTTTGGATGATATGAGGGTGGGACGGAAGGAAGATTGAGCTTTGGTGGTAAAGAGAGTTTAGAAATTGGTTTATGCTGGATTGGAAGTAATATGTAGCTGCTTATTGATTATACCAAACATATTCTTAAAACTATACTATTGAGAGAAGTTAGAAAGTTCTTCAGTAATTATAGCTTATACTACATCTGGAGTGATTCTTTAACAGATTTTCATCCGGATGAGGAATTCTTTAACCTCTCCTCTTCAGCGATACCGTAAGCTCAAACCCTAGATGCCTTCTAACTTCCTAGGCTCAGAGATATGTAAGGAAATATTAGTTCCAACAGATCAATAATTTAGCATTATTTGTATACCAAATCTTAGGTCAATTTTTTACTCTCTGTACGTACCGTGGAGAGTTTTATTTTAATTATAAATCTTCTAAATTTTTAGCTTGTTTCAGCTTTCTTTGGTTTTCTTCTGCACATCGTTGGACCTGATCAAAGAAGTCCTCCTCCATGTAGAGATTCTGAGGGGAGGAAGTCAGACGAGTTTCAACTGAATTCATTATTATTTTATTTAAATTTATGTAAGGTTAAAGGGGTTTTGGGGTTTTGGGGTTTTGGGG